TTTAAGTCTAAATGTTTTTAAGTCCTTAAAAACTATTATTGTTGCTTGTTTAAAACCAAACTTGTGAGTGTTAGCGTCCTTGACGACCAAACAATAACAATCGTATAACAATGACAAAACAATTCATTATCAATCGAAAAACGCCGCTTCCAAGACTCTTTCTCTCGTTAAAATTGCATGCTAAGTCATAGATTACAGTTAAAAACCTTCTTTTTAACATATCTGTAGTGATACTTATGAATTTTGGGTTGTTATATAAGTGGATCGAAACGTCCTAACAATGGATCGAAACGTCCTAAAAATGGATCGAAACAACTTGGATCGAAACGTCTTTGGATCGAAACGACCGGATACCATATAGAATATCTGTCTCAGATATTTACTGCTTTCACTATTACATTTAGGAACTTAAGCCAAAAGCCAATCCTCTCAAATATCGTATTCTGGAGAATTGTGTTCTGCTGGCGACGAAGGCTAAACCAAGTGTTGAATTGGCTTTGGCACAGTTCATGGAAATAGCTACAACTGAGGTAAACATGCAGTTAACTTGGGTAGTCCTCGGCGACGTATTTTTACCTTTTTTTCAATTTTTTGTCTCTCTTGCTGTGCTTCTTGATTGTTTTTGCTGTTTTCGCTATTTTTTATGGGAGGCGGGAGGGAGGGAGGGAGAAGGGGTGTGCTTTCGTCTTTTAGAGGGAGGAGAACGTTTTTCAGATTGAAATGGTTGATGGGAAGTATGAGATGCCGGATATCATAGATATGGATGTTGATCATCAACATACTGATAGGACTGGCTTAGATTGTTAAAAGCTCACGCTCTATTATACGAAGAGGCACAGTCTCTTCCCTTCAAGGTCTTTAAAATCAGTACAATTAATGTATTTCCTGTTATTTTATTGGTAGCGTGATTATGTGCCAGCATTATTAGGAATGGCTACAGCATACATGTACCTTAAACAAACACCCAGAGCAAGGAATCAACTCAAACGRATCGCTAAAATGAACTGGACATCTGAGGTATAGTGTCCATAACGARATAACAAATWTAATTRCACTATTTAGCGTTGTTAGTTTGCTCTAAATTATGTGCCATTTAGGATGCTGAAGAGTTCGAGAGAAGTTGGCTCCTACTAGCCGATATCTACATCCAGGTAAAGGCGGACGAACAGATGAGATTGTGATTGACATTGATTTTTTATAACATGCGATAATTAGAATTATACTCAGAGGCATTCGTTTTGTTGTTGTTGTTGTTGTTGTTGTTGTTGTTGTTGTTGTTGTTGTTGTTGTTGTTGTTGTTTTTGACGGTGCTTATATTTCGAAATGGAATGGGTAACGAACAAAAAAAAAAAAAGAAAAGGAAGGAAGAAACTCGCCCGGAATAGATCGATGAAGGACTGAGTTGATAGTTAAAAAATAATGATAATTCAGAAGAAGAACGACTCGCTGGATGATATGTTAGACTGATTACGGTTTGTTTGATAGTCTTGAAAGGACGACAGGGACCACGATGTATTTATTGACTATTTTTTGTTTGATAGTCTGGGAAGTATGACATGGCAAGTGACTTGCTAAAGAAATGCATACAGTACAACAAAGTAAGTCCCAATTGAATGTATTGTTTTATTTACCATTGGAAAATACTGATAATGCTGATGATAAAAATAAATTAGCTGAAAGTAAAGGCCTTGATTGAAATATGTGCGGATTTAACATATAAAAATGAGATGTATTGATGTCCAATTTCCTTACAGTCTTGTTGTAAGGCGTGGGAATACATGGGTTTTATCATGGAGAAAGAACAAGCTTACAAAGATGCTGCAAAGAATTACGAAAACGCATGGAAAAATGGCAACAGAAATAATCCAACCATTGGTGAGTTTTACTATCAGAGCACCTTTCATTCTGTCATCCATGGTTTTTGTCCTCTGCTCGTCTCTTTCCTGTCCCTCGTTTTATCTTTCTCCGTTGTTGTTGTTTTTTTTTTGTGTTGACTTTTGCCATCACATTCCTTAATTCGTCAATTGCCATCGCCTTATTTTCCTCTCTTTCTCATTCTTTTCCATCCCATTTTATTGTCCATTCATCTCTTTTTTACCACTTTCTACCTTTCTGCAATGTCAAATTCATATCTTGTTACCGTCCTTTTATCCGCAGGTTTCCGTTTAGCCTTCAATTACCTGAAAGCCAAAAGATACGTTGACGCTATTGACGTGTGTCATTTGGTGAGTTGGTTTAATATCACTCACTCGTTACATCACTGAATTCATCAAGATGCAATAAGCAAAGAAGAAGCAAGCGTAAAGGCCCGTTTACACTTGCGTTTTTTGCAGCGCGATTGTCGAGCGACAATCGCCACTTTGCTATTGCGCACCTCAAACCGTACGTGTAAACAGCCCTGCGATTGTATCTGCGATCGAAAAACCCGCGAGTTGCCTAGCTAAATTTCAAGCATGTTCGAAACTCAGGCGATTGTCTCGCGAAAAAAAGTGTTAACGGACATTAAAAGAACACTATCGTACCGAGTGATTTTTTGGCCTTTTTGAATGTTTTGTTTTTTTGTTTTTTGTTTTAATTTGTTTTTCTTCTTGTGTTTATTCTGTGTTTCATTAGTTCAGTTTGTAGTGATAAATTTCGAAAAAGTATATCTGATTTATTGTCCTTTTTTCAGGTGCTCAACCAGCATCCACACTATCCTAAAATCAAGAAGGAAATCTTGGATAAAGCTAGGAGCTTGATACGTATTTAATCTGTCATCTATAAATAATGTGTATAGTCGATATTATACCTGTAGATATCTATTTAGTGTCAGCTTATTACACTTTATTCCATTCGTATTTTGCATGGACCTGTGGTAGAAAAAGGTCACTTCAAGGTCCATGGTTAGCCGGCTTTCGCTTATGTTTGAAAATAACAACACCAAAAACTTACTCTTTATTATTCCTTTTTGATCTATGTGTGTAGATATTATAAGGTTCGACTAATGGAAAAGGATTGCGAATGGATATTTAAAGTCGCCTCATTTTCCATATATGAAAAAAATCTAAAACACGACCGCATTGAATGTCGGTTAACCATGGTCCTTTAATACGATGAAAGTTGGTGAATCAGATATCAAAGCGACAAAGATCGGTTCTTGTATATAAGAGAATAAGTAAAAGAAAGCAATAAAGAATAGAAATGGATTGATCGAACCAGGAAGTGCCTATATTTTTACATTAGGACCGGCACAAACGCTTTCAACATTTGCATCGTCATGCGTTCGATTTTGTTGAACGGCAATGTTGAAAATGCTTGCGCACCCATTTTTCAACATGGTTCAACACTGTTCTACAGCGTTCAAAGCAATCAACAAGTTAAGACAGGACATAGGCGACATTCTTGAAAAAGGTATTGTAGTTTGATTACCTTTTTTACAAAATAATATTTACATATAATCGTATATAGTTATTGGGATATTGTAACAGAGTTTTTTTATTTATTTTTTTAACCTTGACGTTCATTGTTTTGTTGGTGTTTGTTTTTGTTGTTGTTGTTGTTTTTTTTGTATATTTGAAAAATATATGTATTTACTTTGACTGCATCTTTTCAGGTACCAAGTTAGGACTTTTAAGCAAGAAAGAAATTGTATAAAGGTAAAAGTCTGAACGTAGTTAGTATAATATTTATAGGACATTTTCACAATGTATATTTATATTTTCCATAACTACCGCAATGTCCTGCATCTGATCTTTATTGTTGTTGAGGGTTGCTTTCTGATTGGTTTGAAATCATCATCATCGTGATGTTTCGCACCGARTGGTGCATAAGGCCTTGGTTTAAAATACCTACCGCAATCACTCATAAACTCCATGCAAAAATGCAAAACACCRCGAAAATTCTATGCTCGTTTATGGATGATTGTCATCCTGCATGAATTCACGATTTTCTTCATTTTAGAAAAGCGCGCAAAGGTTCAAGGATTCACGTAGTTTTTTTTAAGACTTCATTTAAAGATACAGTTTGGTGATTTAAAGGGAAATCTTTATAAATTAATTCGCTGTGCTCATCCTTTGCCTGACGTGAGTGAGTTCTTTCGTGACACAAACGCGTGTCACTTGCTTGTCATGCAACATACTGAATGAAGCAAATCCCACATTCACACGAATCAACATATAATTGGCAGCTCTTCGGCATCTTCTTTCAGACTCATTTTCCCTTAAATTGTAACCTAATTACCGAACTAAAACTAGATAAGAGTAACTTGTTATCCATTTAAAAGAGCAAACGTTCAAAGAAAAGAATACGTGTAAAAGTACGTTCATAAACGTACGACTAAAAGAGCGGGAAAATATCAAAATCTTGACGCGCGCGCGACAGCCAAAGTCGACCTACAGGTTTCATGATGTACTAACGTATGAAACATGCCATAAGTCGGTCTATTCGAGAACTAGTGCTATTTGAATTGTTTGATATAAGCTCTTTTTATGAATAAATTATATCTTTTGGGTACTTCTGGACGGTAAAAATAATAATTTCTATATTGCTTATAATTAGTTCGGTACCACCTACTGCATTTACTGCGAAGCAATCTGAACAAAACTCTTTTAAGTGATTTTATAAAATTGAAAAATTCTCAAAATTCAAAACATATTTACAAGTTCTTCATAACCACCYTTTTTCATAACATGAATTATTTATTCGCAACATTTCCACCAAATTAACTGCAAGCATGGGTTACGTATCGCTTCTAGTCAACTGTGTCAACTTCCAAGCATTTTCATATGAAACACTGCAGACGAAATTTCAAGGTTTTCTTAAGTTCGAAAACTTCAATATATCAGTTTTAATAGCTATCTCTTCAAGTACTAATGTACTATTCAATTGGCCTAATTAGCTATTTTCACAGGGTGTATCATAACATGAAGATTTCCAAAAGCTTTACCACTTTAATCTACTTGTATTTTAGAAATTGAAGCTTAAAAACATTGATGATCTAAAGACAGATGGACGGTTGGTCAAGACTTGTGCTTGTAAACAGCTTTACCATGCGAACGTTTCTAACTATGCAAACATATTGCCTCTTGACAGATGTCGTTTTTTTTACTAAAGCGAGAGTCATTGAGAGAGACACGCTGTTTTTTCGCAGTCTGTCGCTGTGGGATGTCCACCATAAACTAATACGGGGATGAATTATGGCCAATTTCAGCCAGCGGCATAATAACAGATGGACAAAAAGCTCTAATGGAGATGATAGCGATTTGCGTTCTTGAAGACCAAGGGCTGGTGCGTCAGCTATATTAAAATCACTGTTAGAAAAAATTTAAACCCAAAAGTTTGGGAAAGTGATATTAGTAAAAATGCCCCGAGGTTAAAAAGACAAAGGCCTATATATAGTGCTTTGAATCTCATGTTTTGATTAAAAATGAAACATCGATTCATACATTCATCAAAATAGGCTTCTGAGTAAAAACTAATTCCAAAAAACTTTGGGCATTTAGATTCTAGACAAAAAACTGCTAAACAATCTGAAAAAATGGTTGTGTAAAAAGATAAATTTCAAAACACTGTAAAAAAGTAGGTGAAACAACTTATGACGTTTCGCATCAGTGTTCCGGAGTAAAAATCGAAACAAAAATGCATAAAGTACAATTTTTTTCTTTTTTTCTTTACAATTTTTTTTTTCCTTTCGCAATGTTGTACCGCTCAAGCCTGAAATAGTAAAAATTATAAAAGGTATACATACATTGATCAATAATTGAAGTCCGCTGTTCGTAGTGAGCGTGAGGTGCGAGGTTTCTAAATTAGATACCATAAAAAGACCAACTAAAATGGATTCACAGTTTGCATTATTTGTTATTAAACTTTATTTAGCCTAAAATCCTTAACWATTGACCACATTTACTACTTATCCTCGACAATCTGGTTTGACATAAATAATTCTAGTATTGCCTACGAATGAAGCGTTATATCTAAGGCTGTTTTTRTTTATTTTTGCCGGTCGGCGAAGTGGTTGCCWTTAGTTCTGCCATTGAGCCAGTGTCGTTATATGTTCCTGAGTCTGTACATACGATTCTATATACTGTACCAGTACAACGTTTTCACTATAATGAMGTGCACTTTAAGTCAAGAATTCTCAACCACGTTGTGGCTACAAATGGAGAGATGTTCTTTCAGCTCACAACGGCGCGAAAAGCTCTCTTTACARTACCTGCATCGRTATGGCTTGTTATCCGTGTGTACATGCATATGGAACTTCAAGTTTGAYAACTTATTGAACGCTTTCTTRCAAAGGCTGCATTTGTAGGGCTTTTCCCCTGAGTGGATCAGCAAATGGTTGCGTAAATTRCCTTTTTGATGAAATCCTTTGCCACAAATTTCACAAGTGAACTCTTTCACATTGCTGTGTGTTCTCTGGTGGGTTTTCAAGGTGGAAGAACGGTTGAATGCTTTACCGCATGTCTGACAGCGATGAGGTTTGTGGGATGTATGGATAATTTTGTGTCTGCATAACGTGCTAGAAAGGCGAAACCCTTTGCCGCAGACTGCACATACGAACGGTCTGGCGCCAGTGTGGGAAGGCATCTTGAGGTGGATTGTCAGTGTGTACTTTGTCTTGAATACTTTCCCGCACTGRCTRCATTTGTACGTCTGTTTTTTATGGGGTTCTGGCTTCGCTTTGATGTTGTTTTCAGCGCTCTCATCAGTATTCAATCGTGCTTCTTTTGTGATATCATGATAAATCACGCGGTGAGCAAAATCTCGGTGGTTTGGTTGGTCGTTGAGGTTTGGGTAGCGAGGCTGGTTCCATTCCATTCCAACGCGCAGTATGTTGGCAATGTTTGATCGAGATTCCCATCCCATTGACGCTTGATGTTCAATTGTATTGACATTGGTGTCTTTATAGTCAAGGCTTCCTATGAAAAGTTACAGTAATAACTTACTTTAATGCTTTAAATCTGTGATCTTTTGCTAACGAGCAACTTCATGATCTTTTAAAGCCGAATAATAGCCATAATCCCGATTTCAATCACTAAATAGCGCAATATTTCCATACCTTTTTCATCAAAAGAGTGGGTTTTTCCTTCTTCGGGACATTCGATTGGTCTTGTAAATCTCTTGAGTAGGAAAGAACGAGGCATTTTTGGTATTTTTAGCTACAGTTTTTGAGATTCTAAGAGTTGAGTGTGGTTGGGCAGCCGACTGTCCTTTCTCGACCTAACGACACATCGAGTGTTTTTCGATGTGATCAGCTAGGGCTACCCTGCTGGCCACTTTTGAATACAATCGATAGTCCATTGTCAATTAACCAATGACTGTCAATCAAGGTAGATATAGCGGTCATTAACAATTACTACCCAAAACTGTAGGGGAATTTTCGATTCATGGATGGGCGGAAACCAGCTTTGCTATTCATTTGTTGTGTTTTTAATGATTCTAAGTTCCTTCTTTGAAGACTTCGTCAAGCAATCTAGAGCTTTGCGACACTTAGTTTTACTATTGCCCTTTTCAGAAAGTCGTTAACTGACTACGTCCAATTTGCAATACCTATCTATTCTTAAGGAATTCTCACAAAATTCATAGTAAAGTACTTCAGCTTTTTTCAGTTTCTGAATTTAAAGTCTCTTATAGTAGAAATACTAAAGGTTTCTTGTCGTCAAGAAGCTGGTAAAAACTGCTCGATCTGACACCTGTCTTATCATTACCTCCAAAAACAGCTCTGGCGATAAATTATTCACTAAAAGTCATAAATGTGGCATCATAAATTTACAAGTACAACTCATATTCTATGAACAGTCAGAAAAAATCTCCTGAAAGACTCGAGAATTGACAATGCAGTAGGCCCTTGGTAAAAATCTTGATATTTTCCCACATTGTAGAGATTTTCGAGAGGTTTTTGTATGACTTCGTATTGGTTAATGAATGGGTGACTCGTTAAAATTGACCTTTTTGTTGAAAAGAACATTTTACACAAAAAACTTTCCCGCTTCTGAATAATTTATAACTTTGGYTTTCAGGTTTTGTGCAGACGATAATTTTTTCACTAGCTRTAGTATGTTGTTTCTGTGAGTAATACATTTTCTTTCTTTTTAAAGTGAATTTCTTGTACGTGGTCTAAGAAGCTACAGCAAATTTCTTTATATTCTTTTTAAGGGGGATACTAGATGGCTTCAGTAGCATAGACTGAACGGTGAAAACTGGCTCTTTTCGAATTCTCTTTTTGTCGTCTGAATATTTCATGATTTATTTTCAAACGAAAGGAATTTCGATCTCACAAATCAGGACTTGCTGACCGGGTGATTACAAAAGAATGAAAAACAAAGAGAATCGTAGGATTGTTAATGAAGCAATCATCAATCTCGTCAACAAGACTAAATTAGGAGCCATTATCACATTTGCCGTCGTCGCGTTACAAGGTTTACAACATTGCCTGCCTTTGAAGTCCTTTTAATTGCTTAAATTTTTCCTCAACACATACATCTGAAATGCTTGTGGGAAATGTTTTTCGTATTTGTTTCTTTATTTCCGCTATTAATTGTAACAACACTTCGTGATTATCACGTGTGTGTCGGCATTACTATTTTGCCTATCCACATGTGTGTTTTTTTAGCGTTCAAACCTTAAACGCATCAGGACAAAGTCGCTTTGTTCGAATAATTCAAAACAATCCAAAAACAAATTGTGAAATAAAGTTCAGAACTACAAGTTTATACTATATTTGAGTCAGTGCTTTGAGGGTTTCAATATCAATTCTATTGTCGACAAGTCGAGCTTATAAGTATGTGGTTTTGAACTTCACTAAAGCCAAATCTCAAAATTAATCCGGCATACTTGTGTTTCAAAAGCTATAGATAGTTGTCTTTTCTTAGTATTTCGGTTGGCAATTGTGTGTGTTAACGCGTGTCATTCAATGGAACCCCATAAGGTACTAGTTAATGAACTAGTGAATGAACCCAGCGTGACTTCGGTTTGGAGTTTGGTTGGTAAAATAGATCAATAGGTATACTAGTCTACATGGATCTCTCCCATGCAGTAGTCATCTCAAGGACATTTGGTTTTCGCTGCGTTATAATTACTCATAGCGGGGGTATACACCTTGAACACTGGTTTAGATGGATTTTTAGATTTTTTTAATCATAATATATGGAATGTGTAAAACTTACATTAAAAGTAATAAGTCAAAATATCAGTTCAACTCTTATGTGGGCTATAAATACAAAATGCGTCTTAAACTCCAATAGAAAATAAGGTCTTTCTTGGTGTTTTGAATTATCCCCTTCTGTATTGTTCCTGCGATATTAAAAACCCTAGCAATCCATCCTTTCTTACTTAAATATTATTGGGTATAACTATTTCAATTAACAACTTCAAACTAATACCACAATATGTAATTTTTATGGAAATTCAAATATAACAAAATATGTCGTGCCTAATATCACTTAGCTAACTTCGAATATCTGCTGGTTCCATACAATTCCGAGTAAGACTTGTGTGTATATTTTCTATTAATTTCAAGTCATTATAAAGATAGTACGCCCTTTTCACAATATAAATCTCAAGGCTATAATTTAAAAGTGTCTCCCTTATGTCCAGTGAACAGACAAATAATAATCAGTTTTATTGTGAACCAAATGAAGTGGTTTTCATTTAAGTCTTGAGTGATTTGAGTACTATTATACTCTGATTCACTTGTTTGCTATTGTTTCAGTTGTTTTTAATACATTTCGTTTAACAGCTTTATACGCCTCTTTAACCGTTAAACGTGCTCTACTGTAACTATGAGTCGAGCTTGAAAAGTCTTTATTAAGTGCTAATCGGGTGAGTACATGGGGCTTAATTTTTTCCGAGTCAACTTTTAAACTAAAATAGACATTTGGTATTTGTTTGGGTTAATATATGCATAGTAGGAGCTCTGTGGAGCTCTGTCGATCCCAGTGCTCTCTCTTTTTTTCGTGAAGAATCATGGGTACAGGCGAAAAGGAGTATGGGTACAGTATGTGTATGGTTTTCAAAATGGTGT